CTTTTGGGAGGGGTAACTGGTAACCACTCCCTCCACAATAATGACTGAATGGTTCTGAATGCTGGCTATTATAAACTGAAATGTTCATGTGCCCTTTCATATCCCAATTTGTTTATCTTAAGATACCTACCTAACATATTTTAGTGCAGTAAATGTATTATAGATTTCATCTCCTTTAAGATAACTTTCTGGAAAGTGTGCCATTACAATCTTTAAATGCACATCACATTTTAGCCAGTTGCCTAAGTTCATACTTCTTAAATTATACACAATGTCTTAGGAAAACATGAAAAATGTAGACCCATAATTCTTTTCCTTCAGTGAACTTAAGAGTTACATGAAACTTCTGCTCCATACATAATTTACATCCTTCCTTAAATACAGAAACTTCATTTCCTACTCTCTAAACATTGTCAGGATGTGATAACATATTCCCACTTCATGTAGTGGAATAGATTGTACCAGTTCATAATTTTTGAGACTGAAAGTATTTGAAATCTATTTCAGCTGAATCATCATCCAACTTGAATAAGCTGATTCCTATATGCTTTCTCCTACATACTTATTTTTATTAAAAGCTGTAGAGATTGTTTATGATGATACCTACATAGCTAACCATTATCCTCTCAACACAGTGACCTCACTGCTTTTCCTTATTACCTGTAAGGCATAAGGGTCATTGTATTAGATAAAAAATAACCAATAGCTGAAGAAATATTGTCTTTTTACAGGTTTTATATTGCATGAAAGAGGAGGTGCTAATTTTTTTTTTTAATTGAGAAAGTATGACTGCTTCAAACTTGATTTCCTGAACCTCTGTGCAACTTTAGTAAGCTTTTAACTTCGCAGCATATAGATAGTGTCAAATTCAATTATTAGGGTTGTGAACCAGAAAAAAACTTCTTTAGTGCAGTCCTGTGTCTCAAGGAATAACCCCAGCAGTTCTTACTACACATGCTAGAACAGCACATTCTAGACAGATTTTACTCTTTCTGGAAGCTTGGTTCTAAAAATTACAAATTTCCTCTTTATTTATTGATAAACTGTAATCATCTACTTCAAAGCTGAAGCCCTCTAGGCCAGTAACTTTGGAAGATCCTTAGTAACTCCACAAAACCTAAAATAAGGATCTGCCACTTCTCTTGGCCACTAAGATGATAAGCCTCATTAACAACTGTTCCTCCACATTACCAGTTGCATAGCTGTGGCAAATATTTGGGACTCAATACAGAGATTGTCAGTCAAGATGAATATTCTGTTCAGACATTACTTTCATAAAACACCACACTCCAGAGCAGTTCTCCATGGCTCGTATGTGCCTCACTTATATTTATTGCAACCATTCTGAAAAAGTCCATCAAGTCATTTATTTAGGCATACAAGTTCAGATTCTTGGGGAAAGGTGTTTGTGTAATTGCAAGCTGTGCTCTTTTAAGAGTGTTCCAGGAGGCAAACTAAAGGAGCATAAGCAGTTTAATGAGAGTCCAAAGCAAACAAAAGGTTTAACAGTCTTCAGGACTAAGGTGGTTACAGATGAAATTGTTCTGCATCCTTTACCCTTTAGTTCTAGGATTGCTGGGTACAAAAAAAAACCTTATGACAAATATAAAAGGATTTGAGGGTGCTGCAAAGTGATGATCAAGTACAATTCTGAAATGGAACGATATTCCCAGTTTCACGTCTGTACTACCTGAAGGATAGTTTTATCATCCAAAATCACCTCTTGTGACTTGACCTATGGCAACTGTCTGTTGCTAAATACAGAAGCAATGCAAGCTCCCACTTGCATTTCAGAAGCTTTCAAGAATAAATGAAGTCAAAAAGCACAGCATATTGCACAGGAAACTGTTCTTGTTACTGTAACTTAGATGCACCATTTATAAAGATGCCCTAATTGTTTCACTGCTATTTGAAGTTCAATTTATTGGATTCTATGCGATACTTTACACCATTCATAGCTTATGAATGCCTAAAAATAGAGAATGAGGTGTGGCAGAAAATTAATTCCAGGACAATAGCATTATGTTGAAGATATTTAAAATACATTTACTTGATTTACTTGCCAACAGCTGTTGCTGCTCCTAAGCTGATTATTCAAAGAACAAAACCAGTTCTTTCCAATAAACAATATCACATCCCATGTGTTATTCACAGGACAAACATACATACATTGTTCCGGGCTATTAGCCTCTGAGGTCTTTCTGTAAATTAGCCATAAGCCTGCACTAGGTCTAAGCAAGAAAATGAGAGTAACTATTTACTGATAACCCACTTAAAACAGCTGAGTAAATTACACCACACATTTAGTCCTGAACAGTGACACAAAACAAGCATCTCACATTTCTCCAAAAATGACAGATCAGAAAACTGAGATAATATACATTTTAGTAGATTTAGAAGATTTTTCAAGTCCAGTTGCTTTCAGTCAGCATTAGATTATTTTCATGTATATTTGATTTGTACTTAAATGCACTATTCTATTTAAAATGTAACTAGCCAATAAAATCACAGATTTTGCCCACACCTTTATTCTTCTTCACTTTTAAGTGAACAATGAAAAAAAAATCATTTTTGCATATTTATAGTCTGCATGTTTGATGGCACTACTGGCCTCTGCACTACCTAATTTCGTTGTTATACTGTGCAACTCAAAAAAACAAACTTAGTAATACAACAGTCTTGTCAGAGAACAAAAGATCTTCTATACTTAAAAATAATAAAATAGAAGATTTGCAAAAAAAGACATTTGTAACTCGTAACAAATGAATCCTTACAGTCAAAAACTGAACCTTGATATATACTCCTGGGCTTCAACACACAGAATACATTCACAGAGATGTACTGGTAGACAATCTTGAAAAGCTTATGAACCCACCAAAATAAAACTAAGAGAAATATTGTACTGCATGTTTTAAAATAATCTATTCAAAAACAACTGCTATGCTATGGGAAGCTTTTACCATAAGCAACTTACAACCATGGATGAAATCTGGGAAAACCCCTTAAATTTTCATATGCCATTCTCAGTGAAATTACCACATTAAGGAAAGTGACCCTTAGGCATTGCAACCCTCTTTTTGCACTTCTGTATCACCTGCCTATACCTAGAAGGGATTCATTTTAAGAAAAGACATTATATGTATGCACCTCTAACTTAAATTAGTCCTAATCCAAGCTGAAGGCATTTCCATTTCAAACGTGGTAATAAAAAGTGTGCTAAAAAGCTCACGTGTCCCACCAAGAATACTAAGTTTGATAAAAAATAGGGTACAAGATGCTCTTAGCAAATATAAGTACAGTAAAGAAATTTTCCAGAAGAGCAGAAATGCAGAGTACCAGACAAGCAGAATGGAGGCTGAGCTTCACCTTTTCTTCTTCTTCCTTGTCCAGGCACAGGCCCAGTAGAAAGACAGTCACTGAACACCAGCTGCAGCACTACAGGCACACATGAGCTGGGCCAGGGCCAGAGCCAGGGAGGATAACCCAGCACAAGCATCAGACAACAACTGTTGGTGCTACACTAGTGCAGCTCATTTACTATCGTGTACTTTTAGGATCTGCCATAACTGTGACTACAGACTGTCCACCTCAAACCTGATGCTTTGTGGTCATCAAGAAACACAGGCGACTCAATGTGTATGACTCATCTATTGGTAAAATGTTGTATGATCAGATTTTGTTCCCAGAAAGATTATGCCATTTACACTAGTCAATGAAAGAAAAGCCCAAGTAGGAACAAAGTACTCAGCAGTAACATGTATGTATCTCTTCAGCTGGTCTGGATTCTATCCTTGCTCCTATGGCAGGTAAGTGAGTCATCTTACTCTGCAACATGATAAAGCAAAATCTCCTTCTGATTACTCCTTCAAACATATTAAGGCAGGAGTCAACTGCCACATTAGACACCAAGGTTCTCTGTTTAGAAAGATCTTGAGTGTCTTTAGAACTTTTTTTAAAGAAGTATGATTTTAAACTCTTCTTCCTACTTTCTATTTTGGAATGAAAGTAAAGAAGGGTAACTGATTTGTAATTCAAACCACAATAGTATTTTATGTCTTAAGAGAAGCAATTTTCCCCCACTTCAACAGTACTTAATGAAATACTCTTCTGTACTTCCCAGGTTTGCTTTTTTTTTACCCTTCTAAAATGAAACCATCATTCAAAGATCCATTTTCTCAAATGGGAAATGAAGCATCAACTCTCATGCTTTACACCTACACTTGTCCCTGTAAAAGTTCACTGCCTATTAAGGCAGAGTAGAAAAGCTAAGTACTAGGCCTTAATAGTTAAAGCAGGTACATAGCTGGGTATGTTTAAGCATAAATACAATTATATAATGAAAAATGTATGAACTAGATGATGTATCCCAGAAATAGATGTATCAAAAAACAAACAAACCTAAGAAGACTCTGAACATCAGTAAAGGTTCAAATTCTCCAAGCTCCTTTGCTGGAGAAGCACTCGCCAACTTACTGTAGTGAACACACAGCTACAGGATTTAACAGCATCATTAAACGCTCATCGTATTGCCTGTGTTTGGCACCACAGTGCACCTCACCACAAGCAACAGCCTGGAATTCAGCAGAAGAAGGGCTCAAAACACCCTAGGATTCCTCATCAAGGTTTACAGAGAATGAGGGAAGACCATGTCACCATAAATAGTAATCTTATCTTACCCCTGTAACATGGAAAAAGATAAATAAAAAAGACTCAAACTGTACTGTTAACGAAATACCCATGAGTGAAAACCACAAAATAAAGGATCATAAATAAGCTACCTGTTGGATCATAATGCTCTGCTGATATAAATGTAATAGACAACAGAGGTAAAACTTATGGAACCTAGGAATAGCCTTCAAAAGATAGAGAAAAAAGCACTTAGCTCTGAGTCAAAAGGTTTTCAAATGTAAAAGACATTTTAACATGCATAATGTTTGCTACATTTTTCTTACACAGCTTTCAAAAAAAGGTGACAATTCTTGGTTAAAGTGTTTACTTACATTGAAGGCATTAACTGCATTTTTATCATAATACTTCTTCTTTTCATACTTATCCCTGATGAAAAATTCCACAGCTCTGGAAATAGCTAGTTTAAGGAAAATATACATTCATATAAATACTAACATCAACCACTCTACACAGAACAACTGCTGCTGCAATGCCCAAAGTGAACTTCTTTGTACTACACAAAATTAATCAGTTTAATCTCTGAAGAAAACAATATGACAGAGTATAAGTAACTCAGCATTTCATAAATAGGACATTTTCACCTGGTATTTATAATCTACATGGCTGTAGGACTGAAAATACTTGAACAATGGTACTCATATATGGTAAATAATTATAGTTCACCACCTTAACTTGGGAAAAAATACTTTCCCTTCATAAAAGAGGTGAAATGTATGTACCTGTTCTCTGATTTGCATGTTATACCATTTACCAAATGCTGATCATAAACACTTCTCCGAGATCACTAAGTCCTCCATGAGAGTCTCCTGTTAAAACAAACATCCCTGTGGAAGGGGAAAAAAAGCCAAAACAACTAGTGATAAAGATATTGAAGTAAAGATGGAAATAGCATCAAGCATATTGCTGTAGAAAATCAGAACTGACAACTCAGTAGCGCAAATGCAAAAAAGACAGCCAGTTGCTTCATAAAGCAGCTCATTCAAAGCAGTGTGAATACATTTAGTAAAGCTGGCTCTCTAGGATCTGAAGAATAAATTTTAACTACTTTGTCCAGCAATGTGATTATCCATTCAAAAACTGATACTGCAACTGTGGAAGCTCAGACTTATTGCGTCAAACTTCCAAAGCGTTTTTCCTCAATCGATGAAAAGATATCCTTAGCTCCATATACTGTGTCCTAAGATTAACACTGAATTCAGAGCACTCAGTCCCTTCATTCTGTGCATCAAATTATATTGTCAAAAATCATAGTCTCAAACTGTATGCCAATGTCACCTGAAGACATAAAAGTCACAAAAGTTTCATAAAAGTTACAAAAATCAAAACACTGCTTTGTACCTCTTTCCAAATACATATAAATTGCAAATACATATAAATCCTGAACCCTTTGAAGGTACAACTGCTTAGTACTGATAGTGTGAAAAAATTATTTACTTGGAAATAATTTGTTATTAGAAAAAACATTTTTCAACAGAAAACTAAAGCTGCCAAAAAAAAAAAATCACCAAAAAAAAAAAAAAAAAAAAAAAAAAAAAAAAAACAAAAATCACAATGACCCTAAAAGTTAGTTTCTACACTACAGCATCCCTGCTAAGTACCGGGGAAGGGAAAAAAATGCTTAGAAAGGTCACTCTTGTAATTATGAAGCAGAAATGAGGAGGGATCTTTAGCAAGAGATTTTGGGCAGATCCCACAAACACATTCCTCCTGTGTCTCCAATTTACTACCTTAAAACTAGAAGTATATTCTAGTGCTACAGGAAGTTAAACACTAATATAGATGAACATATACAAAGTTGATCATTACATGCAAAATATTTTCACATTTATCCAAAAGAATGTTCAGAATATAAGAATATTCACAAGCAGAACATTGATGACATACTAAGCACCACTACTATTTTGCATTGATACAATGGGCAAATAAAAAAGGCAAAAAACATCCATAACACAACAGCTTGTCATGAATACCAAGTAGGTAAGTAGCTGCCAAAGTTATGCAAAAATTGAGAAATAAATCAGAAATTGTTGCAATCACCTCTCATGGCAATACAGTGTTAACAAAGAAAACACAGGCAATGAAGTATATTCAGTTGACTAAGTCCACCAGTTAGCCTACAACTATTCAACAGCAATTAATTCAAGGCATACAGTGTGAAAAAAAAGAATTATTTTAAAAGTCTAAAAATTAGACTTTTGGTCTGATCTGACACGAAAAGCTTAAAGCATTATTACTTCTGTAGTAGCACCAATGAATTAAAGTTAGCTGCAGCAAAAAAAAAATACACATCTTCAAGATCCATTTTTGAGTAAGTTTTAATCAAAATATTTAGATCATATGGCTAAAATAAAGTTACAGAATATTGCAGCTGGAATACTATGGTGCTATCTGATTATTTTCTTATGAGGATGTATGTTTAATGCAAAAGCTACTAGAATATGAAAAAAAGTATCTGTTTTGCTCCAGTGCGTTTTTTAATGAGGAGTCTAACTTGCCCAAAAAAAAATTATCTTCTGTTATAATATATCAAGTGTAGTATCTAATAAACAGAAGAACCAGAATCATCTTTGCATACAGCAAATTTAGATCAAGTTACAGCTAAGTCTGTTCATCAGCTCCTGTAGCTGGGGAAAGACGCAGCTCACTTAAGAGTAGGTGTTTAGGATCTCATTGTAACTAAAGAGTTACAATAAGATCAGGTGAAGCAAATCCTGCCTAAGGAGTAACTTCATTAAATCAAGAAAAAAAAACCCAGACCTAAATTAATGCCATTATGTATTATCCTAGTGATTCAGTAAAGGTATTTAATGAGAAAAGTTATTTATTGCCAGCAGATGTTTTTTCTTCCAACCCTTCCCATCCAGCTACACAGTGACAACCACACACAAACACAACTGGTAGCCCTGAGAGAGCTTGGGTTTATTTATGTATTCCCATACTAGTCACCTAGAGAAAGAAATCCATGCTTTACTGGAGTAAGTTGCAGTGGTTTATTTTACTGTACCATTCAGCTCATTATTTCCTGATCAAATGCTTCTAAACTTCAGATGGCAGTTACTCAAGACAAAGAAAACATTCAAGAGCTCTCCAGTATCATTCTAACTTCCTACATACAGGGAATTTATGAAGTCACCTCCTCTGAAAGCAAAAATAAATGGTGCTTGCCCAATCTCATTACAAAGTAGATTTGCTATGACTGAAGTAATTTAAATCTTTTCTGAACTGTTCTCAACTTCCACTGTCATTTCTCATACAACAATATCAATGAAATAAATAACATAAGCTGACAAATGTAGCAGTTCCTTGAAACAGTCATAACATCTCAATTGCATTAGAAGTCATTTCAATGTGAAAGCCAAAACAAAAGGATACTGATCTGTTTGAGGTCTCCGGAAGTTCTCTGGCAGATTAGCTTCATAGAGTAGTCTTGCTTTAGTATTTCCCATTTCCTGCATACACTAGGGAAGAGTGGTAGAAAACAGTTAGCTCATGTCTGTCTACAGTTAAACTCTGAAACAGTCAGAATGCCACTGTGGAGTGCTTAAATGCCATTACAAGTTTTTAACTTGGAGACCACCCTGTTGCCATAGGTACAGGAAGGCTGCCGGCCCAGACTTGATGGACAAAGCTAGCAACATGGATCCTGTTTGCAGTGTAAACTAACCCATCCAAGGAAAGACAAGCTTTGATCTCTCAAAATAGCTCTTCAGACCAGGAAGACAAGGAGTAATAAAATTTGCCTGATGGCAGGAAGAGGCTTCAGAGTGGAGCACATCTGGAAGAGTCAGCGCATGATACACCAAAAGAACACAAACATGCATCACACAGATATGTGAGTACTAGTGTCCTCTTCCTTACAACACTTATTCTAGATACAACCAAGAAGTAGCTTTCAGAGTCCCTGGGGTAAGGTAGAATATCTCTAAAATTATACAGAGAGGTACAACAACTTCTGAAGAGAGTTTTATGAACTTAGGCTCACTACTGTAGAAGTATGATACATGCAAAAGCTAATAGGATTGCTAAAACATGTAAGCAGAGCATAATGATAAATGCAAATCCTTTCACAAGTACTCCTGACATCCCTTCCAAACTGGAAACATATCTGAAGATATCTTACCTGTATTTGCTCTGGCGTCCATTGATCCAAGTTGACAGACTTGACCCTTGATATATGAACCCCAAGATTTCGATGTATTCCAGCACATCTGATGCAGATAAAAACACCAGTGTTCCAAGAAGCCCATCTTGGTCCTAAAAAGAATGGGGAAATAAATCAATTATTTTCAAAATTCTATATACTATGAGGATTTTCTCTGGCCTAATTCTATACCGACAAAACAAACAGGCTTGAATAAAGTTCACCTCTGCCTCTAGAATATCTATTACTTTTAACAATTTCCAGTGTTAATAATTTTATTCACAGATTTCTGCTTCTAAATAATGTCACAAAACATTAACTAGTCAGATTTATCTACAAAGTTGTATGTTGTGTCCACCTCCCCACCTCCAAAACAATACAACAAACAAACTTTCTAAAGCTGACTTACTAGCAACAAGATTTTTCCTTGCATCTTGAATAATCTTTATGGCTATGTCTCAGATGAAGCATCAACAGAAGAAATAGAAGTTGCTCCTTTTTTTCCATTTAAAAGCTTCTTAAGACATGCATCAGTACTTAAATTAACTGCAGAGCAATCTTGTATTAATGCAACAAATACCTCATATAGCACAGGCTCTACAACAGTAGTATGCAAGCTCTTAGGAAATGCTTATACAGAGATTTACAAAACCAGCTGATAAAAATATGCATCTGAGAATGATGGAAAACTGATTATGTTCAGTATCCTTGATTTCTAAACTACCATTTACAGCCAAATGGATTTTCTAACAGAATCAGGTTGATGTAATAATTGTTTCTCAACTGTGCTGGCATGTAGAGATAGTTAAAGTATGCTGGCCTGAATTACCACGGTGACACTTAATATTCATTCTCTAATTAAACACATGCAAATAATTTTATTCCAGCCCTGTACATCACTGTTGTTAAAAGTACTACTTTGAAGTCCATCTAGTTCTGAGCTCTAAGGAGTTAAAAGATTAAATCATTACCATCAAAATCAAGAAGGCATACTGAAGAGTTGGAAAACATTTCAAGAAGTTATTTTCTGCTTTTGTATGACAAATGTGCCCCAAGATCACACCTGCAACAGCAGTCGTTTGCATTTCAAAATCAGTATATTGTATGAACACTTTCCTGGGACCTACAGAAGAGCTTTATGCTTCCCTCTCCTGATCTTTTGCTTAGGACTGTGTTGGTGTGACCTGGCAAACATCCACAGAGCTGCTCATTCACTCTCCTCTTCTACAGGACAGGGAGAAAAGAGCAAGAAGGTGAGAAGACTTGCAGACTGAGATAACAGTTTTATAAGTGAAGCAGAAACTGCAGACAAAGGGGGGAAAAAAAGAAAAGGAAGGATTTCTTCATTACTTCCCAGGGCCAGGCAGCTGTCCAGTTACTTCCTAGAAAGCTGTGCTTCAGTATCCACAACATTTGTTTTGGACACCACGATAGGCAAGATTGTCCTTTCTTCCTTTCCTTAAGCATCTGTTACTTGAGCACTTTATCACACGGCATAGAATGATCAATTCCAGTGAGCAGACATCTCAGCTGTGCTTCCTGCCCACCCACCACTCAGCCTTCCCCTTCTCTGGGGAACAGAACAAGAAGAGTTCTGATAGTGTTTAAGCACTGTTCAAGCAACAGCCAAAACAAGGAAGCAGGAGAAATCCTTTCAGTTAGACTCCATTCTTTAGAATTATTATTTGAAAATCCCAAGACACATTCACAGATCCCCACATTTGCTGCAAGAAGCACTACTCTTACTAGTGGAAATACTAGCAATATTTTGGGTAATCACCTTGCTTTTAATTTATCTTGCTCAATATTTGAAAAAGTCAGAGCACTTGATGTCCACTGCTTGACCTTTAAGACCATAATCATTAAAATGACTGGCAGCTTTCAAAGTAAGTACTATTATGACAAAATTAGATTTCAAGGGTGAAAAGACCTAGGAATTACTCATCAAAACTAATACATCTTTTCCCACATGGCAATTTTATGTTACAACTACTACTAGTCAGGTTAGAATGGTGAGACTGTTTGCACTGTCTTAAATACTTCAACAACTAGCAACCTATTGATCTGCCTTTTTATTTCCCCCTATAAAACACTACAGACACAAAATACTCACTTTTACACTTGGTAGACCTATATTATGGGAAGGCCTCACTTAAAATTTATACCACTTTTAGTTTTAGCACTCCAGGACAGAGTTTTGCAGGTCATTTACCTCAACCTATGAATCAAGTTTCAGCTAAAATACTGCACCAGAAGAAACTTAATAAAAAAACCCTCATAGCCATTCCACTAAGGTAGATGAAGTATCTCAGTTTATACAAAAGTTTCATCTAGCCATGACAGTTTAGAAACAGGTAAGAAAGTCTTGTGCACCCAACAGCTTCTCCAGTTTTCCCCTTGAAGTATAACCCTTGTGTCTTCTAAAAACTGGAGCCAGTTTTGATCAGGTTACTACAGGGACACAAGGTGTTTAACTGTAGTACCTGTGTGCTGCCCAAGTTTTTATCCCTACAGGGTGTTTACACAACCACTATGAACTTTTTACCATGGATGAGTTTGTACAACTACACATCACATGAATTTCCTATTATCCAGGTACTGCTTTAACTATGAGATCCAAGACAGGCAAATTCTACATTAATGAGACAAGACCAGAAGGAGGACTTGACATGACTCAAGTCTAAACAAATTAAGAGAGATATTATTAATTGTAGTTAAAATATTGAAACTTTGTTAACAAAACTTTGTTAACAAACACTTGAAACTTTGTTAACAAAAAGCAAGACAACTTTTGAAGTAGATGGCTTTCTCCTGGAAAAGAGCAGTTTTATATTTTCCCAAAAGCTCAAATTTCATTAATTAGTACTTATTTATGAAATAAATTTTGGAAATCAAATATATTTAAGCAATGAAGGAGCAAATTAAACAGTGAAATAACAGGCAAACCTGAGGCCAGACAAAAATATTCATGTGTAACCTCTGAATTTAATTCCGAGTAATGACAATATGCAATATTAAACACTTCAAATGAAAAATGTTTTCATTAATCCAAATCAATCATAACCACAGTTAAGCACTAGGCAAGAGAAGTCACAAAATATGTTCTGTGTGTTCATCATATACCAACTATGGTTGACTTAACCGAACAGTCAACTAAGGCCTAGGCTGCAAACCTTTCTGTGTGAAAGATGTTCAACAGTAATTCGGAGTGATTCAATAAACAATTTACAGTTTTGTCAATTGCACATGAAGTCAGGATTCTTATTTCTGTACACAGTAAATATTTTGCACTAATAGAAATATTTACAGGTTTCTTTTTGTTGGGTCCTTAAAGGTACATTTGGTTTCCTTTAAAAAAAAATTTCAAGAGTAATGTGATTTAAGTGATGCACATATTTATGCTAGCCATTGCTAGCCAATTAAGAAGATGAATATTTGGCTTCAGAAATGAAGACTGGACATCAAGAATTTTGGTGACTGCTATTTTATACTATTTAAAACACCTTTACATGTCATTAGTAACACTGTCTTACCTGCTGAGAACTGCAGTCAGCCAACAATAACATGAAATACTTGTCATGTGTGATGTAAGTTTTAATAAAATCGTAATTTTGTTCTTCTGAAAGCCATTTGAATTTTACTAGAAGTGTCAATGTGCACTCCAGCAGCTTGCTCCACCATTCTAACATAAAAATATACTTGAAGTTACTTCTTCAGTCATCTACGATACAGACAACTGCTTGAAAATATTTTCAGTCTCTTTCATCCTTTACTAAAGTTAATTTTAGGAAAAAAGCCACTAGGACTGAAAATGACCAATATTTATACTAGACTATATACTAGAATACTGTGAAGTCTCTGGAGCACTGCCCAGCTCAACAAAGGAATAAACTTCAGCAACCCAAAGACAAATTGCTGCTTCCAACAGAAGAATAATTTTATTTTTTTTTCTTCACGCTAAACTTTCTTTGCCATATTTCTATACATCATCTACTGGTTAGACCTAAATTCCTATTTCAGTTCTTAGCAGGTGGCTGTGAAGGTGTGTGCTGTCTTCCAGAGAAATCATTACAAGATTCTGAATGCATTAGGTCACATACAATTTAAAGAATCCTTAAAATAACGAGGTTAATTTTTTAGGCACACAAGGTTTATTGTGTGTATTTAGTCTTACTGACAACGGCAATTCAGTTGCCTTCACAAAAAGGAGTGATGAATTTTGACTGGAAATTTAAACACAGCACAAATGCAAGTTTCTTGTAAGAGCTAAACAGAAAGGTGGATTTGAGCCATCATACAGCTTCACAAAAATTAATTTGGAGTCTTAGCTATTACATGTTAGATGAAAAACACCAAGCAACATTTCCCAATATTGGGCTTAGCTGGGATGGAGTTAACTTGCTGCATTGCAGCTCCTATGGAGTCCTGGTAACAGTAATGCTTTGGCTACAGCTGGACAGTGCTTGCAGAGTCAAGGATTGCTCTTCCATCCCTACCCAGCAGGCAGGGAGTGGTGGGCAAGAGGCCAGGAAGGAAGAGTCAGGGACATAAGACTCCAGCTGACCAAAGGGACATCACAAATATATATTAGAATTCAATCAGGTGCATAGAAACAGCACTAACTGTGACATATTTGTGGTATTTAAGGAGTCCTTTGCTAGAAACTATGTGGGCCCTAAAAATGAAATCAATACTTAGCCACCAAGAAAGAATGTAGCCTGTTATATCTTTAAGTTTTCAGAGGTTTTAGATAACTCATGAATTTAAGAAAAATCCTGGAGAGTTTATTTCTAGTTACAGTAGACTTCTATGCCAGTATAGTTATTGTATAGAACCAACATTCTCCCTATTCACAGAAATATCTGCAGCTATTAAGAAACTGTGAACATTTCAAAAAACCAACTTCAGCTGTTTAAAAATTAACCAATAAAGAGCTTGAAAGAAATGTACATAATTTTAGATAAAACTCTTCAGATAAGTTGATTTCAAGCCAATTTTTAAATTGCTGAAAAAGTTATCCAATCTCACATGCCATTCTTTCATTCTAAAGTGCACGTCAAAGTGTGAATTTTCTGAAAAATGCATCATTTTTACATACTCTATGGTGAGGCTA